TTAATTTGTATATAGATACAGCAAAGATGAACTCGCAAGTTCCCACAAGTTCAATGCAGTAAATACATAGAGGTGGGAGAAGTACTCAAATTGGCCCATTTCGGAATTATATAAATCATATGTTTTGATGAATTTATGTGTTCTCAAAGCTGGTAAAGGTGCAGCTAGTTTTAATGACTTTGTATACTGCAGGGTAGCTTGTGAATATAATCCAGGTGTTAATATAGTATTATTAAAATGTTGATTATATTTCACATCATTAATCCAAATCTGATAAGTAACTTAAGGTGTTAAATAAATGTACTGGAGAAAAAGAACAATATGTACCTCTTAATTGTAGTGGAGTAAAAGTAGCAAAAAAATGAAATACTCAAGTAAAGTACAGGTCCCTCAAAATTGTACTTAAAGGGCCCATGTCATGCTTTTCCGGTTATTACCCGTCCCCTTGTGTGTTATGAAGGTTTTTATGCATGTAAACAATGTGCAGAGTCAAAACCCTCAAAGTACACCCTGTAGCGAGTAAAACTCTAACACAGAAAATACCTCCCCAAAACGCCTCGTTGGAGATACGTCACTGCCCATTTGAGTCTTCCATTTAGTTCCGGGTACGGCCTGATGTCATGCGGTACCCGGAACGAAATGGACCAATCCCGAAGAGCTATGGCCACACCCAGCGGCGCTGGCCGCACCCTCTGCCAGCCTAACATTTACTGTTGGAAGCTCTGGTTCAGTTCACAATCGATCCAGTCATGCCAATGCCAAGGACCTGTTTCCTGAAATGTGAGGAGAAATCTGAGCTGTTTGTCCTACCGACGGAAGACGATGAAGTCAGTGGTTGAAATTTATTTTTAACACTGTTCCTTCAGAGGTTCGAAGAACGTTACTGTGTGCGCGGCATTTCACAGACGAAAGCTTCCAAAACATTGCCCAGTTTGAGGCCGGATATGCACAGCATTTGAAACTGAAGGACGACGCTATTCCTAGTTTGTTTGGACCGTTTGGAGCAGAGGAAGATTCGAGTACACAACCTGTAAGTTTGCATTGTTATTTGTGTATTTATCAAACAAGGTATCTACCACGACTGTTTAAATGTGTTTCGGACTGCTAAGCCAGTGCTAACTGTGCTAACTAAGTTGCTAGCGTTTCCATATCAACTCTAATATCAGAAGATGGCCTTACATACATGTATCTCATAGCAGGAGAATGTCTGCATTCACACACGAAATACTCATAGACAGTATACTCCAGGTGATTTACCGTACGGTCAGTCGCGAAACGTAATTACATTATAGCTGGCGTTCCGAGCGTGTATGCTACCGAGCTAAACAACAAGGCTACTAAGAGCTAGACATGAGTTTGCTCGGAAAAACATTGTTTTTATGCCAGCTACAATGAATGTAGCAGACTACCCATATAAGATTGCAATTGTAAACATGTGCTTGATAGCCTAATATGAACCACTATCTGTTGTTCATAGTATAGTATAGCATATTGAACAACTGAACAACTAGCAAACGTAGATTAGTATTGTAATCCAGCTGGCAAGCTGACGAACAACAAACAACTAAGTTTATTTCACACTTCCAGCAGAGACAATGGGGAAATCCCCTCTCTTTGCCTGCTCACAGACCCCCAAAGGACGGTACATTAAAGTTGGCTTTCCTCCGACGCTGATAGCATGTATAGCTAACGAGGCTAGCTATACATGCTAGCGGGAAACATTGTATTAATGCCAGTTACAATGAATGACCGAACGTAGGAGACTACCCGTATAAGATTGCAATTATAAACACGTTATTGCTAGCCTAATATGAACCACTAGCTTTTGTTCATAGTAGTTTTATTACACTCCATTATAGTTGCCGTTCCTCCGAGCTAACGTTCATATCGTGTTTGCTAACAAGGTAAACAAGATAGCTAGGTTAGCATATTAGCTGGCAAGCTTACTGTGTTGATTAGATAGATGGATTCGTTAGTAGTAGTTGTGGTAGGAGTGTGGATCTAACGAATCTAAAACAACTAAGTTTCTCTAATATTTTGTGATTTGCATTTGATTTCGTCCAGCCAGATCCTGGCGGAAAATACATGACGGGGACGGGACTACCACACTGAGGCCTCGTCCTAAAAAGCCCTGGCTGCGATAGGCAAGATGCCGACAACGGGGAGGAATGGATGATATACCGTGTATATATGTATATTTATGTTAATTTTGTACATTTCTAAAAATAAAGTTTGATGGAAATACTTAGTAGGCCTATCCTTTCTTCCCTGAATTATTTGCTCCTATAACATATCATTCATATATAGCAAACCATGATTTGATTTCTCATCAAACAGTAGTAGTTTATTACAGGTAAAAATAACTTACTCTTCTATAACAACAGTTGTAGGTACAGTTCGGTTAGTTAGCGTATAAAATATACGGCTGTACCGACGCCATTATAAGACTGATGCTCCGAGAGCGAGCCGAAAAAAGCACTGTTATGGCGCGTTTCCACTACACGGCCTCGCTCGGCCTCCTTTGGCCGCGCCCGGCCTTGTTAGGACCAGCTCACTTTATGGCGCGTTTCCATTACAGTTTAGGAACCGGGGTAGTATCTATAGTAACGCAGTGTAGGCGGAGCGACGCTGCTTAAAACTGCCGTAACGTCATCTTCAATGCGACAATGCAACACAACACACAACAATGGAGGATGTGGAAAAGATCGTTTGCTTGTTGCTTGCTGTGTGGTTCATTATCACAAGAAATAGGCAAGAGATGTTTCGAAAGAGGCGACTTGTAGCAAGACGAGGTATAGAGGAAGCTGACGCGAGAGTTCTGGCAGCCCTACGCCGCAGAGACTACAGGACGACTCTAACTACTACTACTAATACTTCTTCTTCTAGACTACAATGCTACTTGGTAAGCTAACGTTCGCTAACTAGCAATGTGTTTAGGCTCACGCTCCCTATACGACCAAAGTATTTCAAGTATTTAATTAATTGTAGCTACCACTTTTACGTATTAAAATATGTATGCTTTTGTTTGTGTATTTCAGAAGTTACGTCGCCCCCCTAGACCATGTGTTTGGATGCTTGACCGAGCTACCGAGTGGTGGAATGTGATTGTTCCATCTTTCACACACACTCAGTGGGTGGAGAACTTCAGGATGTCTGAGGAAACCTACGTCTACCTGTGCAACAAACTGCGGCCAGCGATGGAGAGACAGGACACACCATTCCGCGTGTGTATACCTTTAAAGAAGAGAGTGGCCATCGCACTGTGGAAGCTTGCTACCGGCTCAGAGTACAGAAGCATAGGACATATTTTCGGAGTGAGCAAGACAACTGTGTGCCGGTGTGTGCAAGACTTCTGTGCTGCTGCAGAGACGTTGTTAGTAGCGGAACTAATTCGTTCACCAGACCGGGAGAAATTTGCAGAAATGGCTGCCTACACTGAGAACAGGTGGGGGCTCCCTCAGTGTGTAGGTGCTATTGATGGGTCACACATACCCATCTTGGCACCACAGGAATACCACTGTGACTATTTCAACCGTAAAGGCTGGCACTCCATCATCCTTCAAGGAGTTGTTGATGGAAAGGGACATTTCTGGAATGTGTTTGCAGGAATGCCTGGGAGCTTGCATGACGCTCGGGTTTTGAGACTGTCCACATTGTGGGAGTTGGCCAGTCGTGGCAACTACTTTCCAGCTTGCACCAGGAACATTGGTGGGGTGAATGCTGGCTATTACATCCTGGGAGACAATGCCTATCCCTTGCAAAACTGGCTCTTAAAACCCTTCGCTGACACTGGACGGCTAACAGAAGAACATGTGACCTACAACAAGAAGATTTGCAGAGCACGAGTAGTGGTTGAAAACGCTTTTGGTAGACTGAAGGGAAGGTGGCGTTGCCTCATGAAAAGAAATGACTGTGATGTGAAACTTGTTAAATCAATGGTGCTGACATGCTGTGCTCTGCATAACCTCTGCGAGAGTCATGGAGAGACCTATGATGATGGGTGGGATGCACCAGCAGCAGCAGAGCCAGGGGTAGCAGTGGCACAAGGTGCAGAGGAGGAGGGCAGGGACATACGAGAGGGTCTGATGCACTACCTGAATACCTAAATATTCATTGTATGGTATTGAACATACATTTAAAAAAAATGTTTCACATACATGTGTTTGTCAAATTATTTAAACCCAAAAAATGTTATCAGAATTGACTATTTAGTAAATATTTGAATTTCAAGCACCAGTACTTACTGCCCCATAATAATAATAATCTAAAAAATTAAGCAAATATCAAAGCAAACTATAAACATAAATACAAAAGTGTAAAACACAGCAGAACTATATTCAGCCTCAAGGTTCAAGGTTTTGTATTTTGTCATACGAACATAGCTAGTGTAGTTATGACAATCTTAGGTCACAGGCTCCTCCAACAGTGCAACACAATAACCCAGATCAACAGAAATATAGTGCAAGTAAATATTAAGCGCTGTGCACCGCTCTCTTTGTATAGGTGTTTTCTTTTGTTCTCTTCTCTTTTAAATATATAAGCAATGTGTTTGAGTCTAGCACAACGAGGGTATTACAATTGAGCAATTTTTACTACATGTATTATTTATTTATCATGTATTCTTAATACCATTACAAAATATGTAATGTTATGTTTTAGAGGACCTCAAGCGAGCAAACTCAATTTCAAACAGTATGCAGAGTTGTCCTGCTAAAGACTTAAAATGTTTTATTTAACCAAGTATTTATTCTCTTATTTGCTTTATTTGCAACAGATGATAAAGGTTTCACTGTGCAGTGCTTTGTGGACGATGATGGTGTTTATGATATTTCTGACTGCAGAGGGACGCCTAGATGATGCCATCTTTCTGTGTGATCGCTGTTGGGTGCAATTATTTATCAACAAGCAATAAGATAAGTCAAAGAAGTACTTTATTTAACACAATTTGGGAAGTGTTTTCTTGCAGCAGCATAAAAAAGGCATGGCATTGTACAATACAAATAAAAAAAAATAAAAAATGATTGTATTGCATTTAAAGATAAAAAATATACAAGAAAGTACAAATGTAAATAAACAATATCATCTCAGCCAGAGGTTATTTGTTGGATCACAGAGGCGGAGGAGACGGGGCACGTTGGCTGCCCGTTCCCCCTAGCACCTGGCAAAGAGTGCGCAGGAAGGATACATTAAAGCTCTCTGCGTGAGCCATCTCCTCCCTTCTCAAGGCTGCTTCCAACACCCTCGCCTCCCTCGCCTCCACCATGGTCTGGTTCATGTACTGAGCCTGCAGGGCCCGGTCTTCCTTCTGCAGGGCCCGGTCTTCCCTCTGCTCGGCCAGGTTCTGCTCCTGGTGTTCCTTCTGCTGGGCCAGTTTCTGCTCCTGGTGTTCCTTCTGCTGGGCCAGTTGCCGTTCCAGCAGGGCCAGTTCCTCTCCTCCTCGTTTCCTCTTGCCTGGGTGACAAGATAATTATATAAATAATAATTAGCAATAAGAATGAAAAAACACAGGACAGGTACAGGTCACACAAGGATATAAGAATAACATGTATAAACAGAACAACAGTAAGGATGAATTAAAGAAAGTTCTGGCCCTAGATACTAGCTGCTTACTAGCTAGTTACTTTACTTGTAACAGAGCATTCCCACACAGTGGTACAGCTTATTTTACTTACTGACGATGGATGGTCTAAAGTTTTTTTTAAAAGTCACAATTCCAGCCTATTTCTTACCTAGCGGTGTCGAGCTGGCACTCGGCGTTGGTGCTCGTGTTGGTGTCTGTGTCTGTGGTCGAGCTGGAGTTTGTGCTGTTGATATGGAGGATGTCGATGCACGGGACGTTGTTGGTTCCTTCTTGCTATTCCCAATGTCATCATCTAGAACAGAAACATGACTTGTTAATTCCACAAACTACTGCAGCACAATACTATAAATAGCAACAACAACTATAGAAAAGACAAACTGAACGTAAACAATGGCACATGTGGTGTTAGCAAACAATAGCTCTAGCTAGCCTTCGGGGCTCCATAAAAGCATGGGTTGTCGAACATAAATGTAAGGATAAAATAGACTTATTTGTTAGAAGTGAGCTTTAGAACAGATAGGGACACAAAGGTTTCAAGAAAATAACAGACCGTTAGCAAAAACTTACCATGCAGAGACTCCAGTAACGCTGTTGCTGAGTCCAGGCCTCCCTCCCTCCCAACGCTAGAAGGTCTATGGCCGTAAATGCTGTCCATTAGGTCAAACCACTTCCAGTTTTTCCTACTGGCACCCCTCGTGTTGTTATTGTCCTTTACCAAGCGATATTCACCCTTCATCTTTTTCAGTTTTTCCCTACACTGCACGGCAGTCCTTGAGTAACCGCTTGTGGACATCAGTGTAGAGACCTCCTGAAATACTTTAATATTGCGAGTTGCCCCATCGAGCTCCCGCTGGATCTTATCATCAGCAATGTAATGGAGGAACGTCGTCACTTCCTCGACCGACCATGGTGTGCTTTTCTTTGCCATTGTTGTAGCTCCTCTGTTAACAAAAATGCTGTTTGTAAAAATGCTGCAAGCATCGCTGTATATATGCGACGCTAGGGATTATCTCGCGCGCCGATTGTGACGATTCTCTCCGACCAATCAGCAGCCGAGAGTGTTGACGTCACACACTCAGCCCGGTTGTCTCTGGCCCTAGACCCACAATTTTATGAGGCCAGAAAAACTGTGAATTAGGACCCGCCGGCCGGTACTAGGCCAAGTGGAAACGCAACCAAAAACGGGCCGCTGACGTCACAGCCCTCTTAAACCGTGCTCCGCGCTGTAGTGGAAACGCGCCATTAGACATGGGCGGAGCCTCTCTGGTGGTTGACTAATCAGAACAGAGTGGCCGAGCTGACCAATCGGAGCACACTAGGCTCACGGGGGGGGGGCAAGAGCTCCAACGAGTCGTTTAGTGGAGAGAGTGAATACTGCTGAATACACATACTTTACAGAGATGCTGTATGCGAAACCAATGTGAGTTTGGAAAATTGCACAGTATAAATCTATTTTAGTATACCTCAACAATGTAATTATGATCAGTGGAAATGGCCATGACATGGGCCCTTTAAGTACAGTACTTGAGTCAATGCAAATGTCAAGTTACTTTACACCACTGTAAATAAATAAACGTAGGGGGTCCAGATATGTAAAACTGGGAACAAAATAGGTCTTAGACTGCAGCAAAGAGCTTTTCTTCATCATGATGTCAAATAACAGAGACGTGATTCCCTATGCTATCCATAACTCCACTGTGGCTGAAGGGAAGCAGCAGTCAGGTAATATTCTGCTCTTTAGTGTTAGTGACGTAAATTTCACACATACATCACTAAAGGAAACTGACAGATGGTGTTACCGAATGAAAAGTCAACCCTGCCATTCTTGCTTTGAAAAAATGATAGTCTATGCATCTTACCTACGAAGTGGAAAGCCATAAGCCAGTCGAAAACGTATAAAACAGATACTTTGTCTCTAAAACGGCAAAGAGGACTTTAGACAAGTTGGTAGTTAGCCTGGTAATTAGTAGTAACCGCTAGCTAAACAGCTCCCCCGGCTAGGGCTAACGCTAGCTAGCTGGCTCTATACAAAACGACATCAAAACAACTTTTCTTTACCTCTTTGCGTCACATTCCAATTTAATGTTTGGACCGACTGCTGGATTCATCCACTGGACAGTCACCTGGCTTCATGTAAGAAAAAAAGAGGGGAGTTGTGGTAGAAAGCAGCCGGTTTAGATGAACTCGTTCACTAGCTGGAGAATCTTTGTTTTGGTTCGAACAAACGGAGTTCACGCGAAACCTATCGCGAGACAACCGCACACAGGGGATAAACTCAGCGCGTGCACAAGCGCGCACACATGGCTGTAACATGTAGACATGCAACTACGTGTTGTGTAAGTACATTTACAGTTTTTAGGTAATTGTATTTCACTTGAGTATTTCCATTTTATGGTACTTTGTTCTTAACTTTTACTGAATACAATTTTGAATACAGGATTTAGACTTGTGTATTCCTACACCTTGGTATTCCTACTTTCACTAGAGTACAAGTGAAAGTACAAGATCAGAGAACTGAATTTCCCCCTCGGGGATTAATAAAGGTCCATCTTCTTCTTCTTCTTCTTCTACTTCTGCACCTCTAGTCTATAGACAGTAGGCTTGTGACAAATAAGTAATAACAAATTAAAACAACACCATTTAAATACATTTAATACATTCATGTTTTATTTATTCAAACTCCTACAGTAGGTATAGCCTACAACATACAAACACACGGCTTACAAATACTTATAAAAAATAAAACGGCCATTTAAAAAAATAAATATCTAAAAAGTAATTAAATATATACATACATACATACATACACACACACACACACACACACACACACACACACACACACACACACACACACACACACACACATACATACATACACACAGACACACACACACACACACACACACACACACACACACACACACACACACACACACGTAAAGAAATACTTTAAAAGAAAATACAGGAATGCCCGTTAATCGGGGCATTGTCAAATGATAAAGAACATTGTCTGTTCCAGTCCTTATCTGCTTCAATTTAATGAAGTAAGTAGCTTTGATGGGTTTACACCACCAACTGTTAATACAAAAAATGAAAGTGCCTCAACAGGAAAGCTTTGACTTTTGCCAGTCTTAAGTTTCATAAATATCAATTTCATAAATAAAAGGAAATAGTGAAAATGTAAACTAAATCCAATTAAAATACATTCTAATAGAAGTCAGTTTCAGACAGCTATAAACATTATGAACAACATTAAAACAATTATAATAAAAAGTAGCCTTAAGTTCTGTAAAAAGTGTGTTGAAAATGACTGTCGGAAGACGGATCCAATCAGAATTATGACTTCTTCGACTTGAGGAGCTTCTCCAGGACGTCCAGAGCGGACTGGATGTCCTCTGGCGTCATGTCTCTGAGGTCGGGCAGCTCCTCGGGCCGCGGCCTCCTCCTGCGGCCGGCCTCCCCGCTGCTGGCCCGGGCCGGCCCGCCGTGGATGCCCCGGAGCCGGAGCTGCAGCCACTCCCGGCGCTCCTGCACCTGCTTCAGCTCCCCGAGGTTGTGCATGAGCTGGACCTCACTCACCGTCCTCTTCCTGCACACACAAGCACTCATGAAGATACAAGGCAAAAACAGATAGTGCCGATAAGGAGGGTGTACAATATGTAGCCTAAATGCGTGGAGTTGATCATAATTGATCCGAAAGAGACGTTAGGAGGGGGGGTTACCTTAGGGGGCGTGCTTCACAGAGAGGGCAGACGTGTAGAATGCAGAGGGAAATGAACAAGGTTTGATATTCCAGACTGCGCATGTTGACTTGATGATCTGTTCAAAAAGTAAAAGTAAACAAATCAATTCTCTATGATACAATTAATAAGCTCTGACAACTTCGAATTTGTATAGACTTTTGCATTGCAATTTCTAAAAATAAATGTATTTAAATGAAACAAAGTAATAAACAACTTAGGTGAAGGTGAGTTAAATAGTTAAATATCTCAGAAGAATGTGAACATACCTCTGGCGCTGCCTCTGTTTGGAGCTGTGTATAAAGTGAAGTCAGGCTGCTTTGGTGGTTAGCTCCCATCAGTTCTGATAGGCACTGGACTCCCCAACTTCCTTTTATAGCCCCCGGCCGGCCATTGATGAGCTGCCTCCATTATTGCTGTTGATGTCCCACCTCCAGCTCCAGAGGGGCAGGACAGGAATGACAACACCTCCTCTGAGCTCCAGGCGTTCACCTCTGTCATTCCACAGCAAACTAATGGCTCTGCATGTTCTACCCAAATACCTTCACTCCCACCTACATGCATGACACGCATGCACCAAATCCCAAACATTTAATAGGAATGTCTGTAAATCATATCATTGATCTAACGATGCAGTGTTTCATCTCCAGGCTTGGGGAGTAACCGATTACATGTTACCAGATTACGTAATCAGGATACAAAAAAAAGGTGACACTATTCGACTATAATTACATTAAAAAAAAAAATAGTAATCAGAATACTGTTACATTTAGGATTACAATGTTACAATACATTGAAATTGAAATAAAGGTCGATATGTGGTGAGTTTGATATTTAGGCTACTTTAATTCTTCTTTATTTTCAATACATTTATTTTTTAATGCAGTAGGTGGACACCTGATTTATTAAACAAGAATACAGTCTATGCTTTTGTTTAATGTATTAAGCTTAATCAGCATTTGTAAACTAGTTTTTATTTGCATTGAATTTGATATTGAGGAAATCAAAAGTAACAGAAAGTAATCAGATTACATAACTTTTATATTTTGATACTCAGATTAGGTTACTGATTACATGATTTGCCATGTAACTAGTTATCGTAACGGATTACATTTGAAACTAACCCTCCAAACCCTGATTAATCTGTATGTTGAAACATTTGTTATAACAATAAAAGCGATCACAATATAACTACAGTTTTGACTCAAAAGTGACCCTGTTTCCAACACCCAGGCGTCACTTTCCCCAGCCCTGCACACTTTTTCCCTGCACATTTTCAATTGTGCATGCCTCTTGGTTATTTTTCACCTACTTTTGTCAAGTGGCCAACTCTAGTCCACATCTGATGTGACCTTTTTTGTCTGACTCCCAGGCCACAGCAACAATAGCGGCAACATTTGGATGAATTTATGACTCTCATTGACCATTTGGGGGTCTCCCTGGTTACATAGGCACTTCACTCAAGAATTTACATTGTTTTAATGAGTTTGCCTCCCGGAAAAGAGCTTTTACACGGACCTGACGTCAGAGAAAACTTCCTCAATCAAAGAGTGAGTGCGAGTTCAAGGAGTGTGTCAGGGAGTGATGCTGCTGCCGTCATTGTCTTGTCATCAGGGGTGTGTGCACGCATGCATCGCTGAACATCAAGGAATCATGACTTGCTCTAATGATGGTTGAAAAGAGGAAGAGCAAAGGGTTATTTCACAGAACATAATTCTCTTGCATCCATGTGGTCTAAACATTAGAGTCTGAGTGATTTTTGCAACTGATGCCAATTTCTTTATGTAAATACACAAAATAATGTTTTACAAGGATCCCCTGAAATTGAATTTAAAATTTCAGAGAGCAAAGGCTATCATTTTCCATGACAGGACATTTCACATTTGAAAATGAAACTTTTACTTCACGGCCAACCCAGTCAAGGAGATTTGGATTTATCTCAAAAATAGAATTAAAGACCTACATTGCCATTGTTAATGTATCTATCTTTTTAGTTGTTATATTCTAAACCTAATGGCAAGTTCTGGCTGGAGTGAGCTTAAAAGCACCATGTATGACTTTGGAAAGCACAGCTTGTGGTTTGAGCTCTGCAAAGACGGAACGATATGATTAGCATTTCATCATAATACACAGAAATGGTGTGCAATGATAAAAGTACATTTGAAATAAATGAAATTGAGCCCACTTTCTTGGATTTAAGAAACAAACGTGTGCAGTATAACCCATGTCTCATTATCCACTTTAACGCTCACTACTTCACAAACACATTCTGCAAAGCCTTACTATTTCAAACACTTCTAAACTCTTTCACTCCTGCTCAGTGTTTTTATAAAGTAAGGTCACGTTTGAAGAGTATGTAAACTGCTTAACCACTGATGTACCTGTATTTACTATTGCAATGCCATCATATTAATACACAGTGTGTAGTACACAGTTTAATAACATTAAAGGGGACCTATCATGCAAAATGCACTTTTTGATGTCTTTTCTACATAAAGATGTGTCCCCGGTGTGTCAGGGAACTCACGCAGCGTCAGAAAATAAAACCCTCTCTCTTTTCCTCCGTACCCAAATCTCTAAAAACGGGGGAACAACGGAGCTGATCCAGATTTGCGGCAATTTGACGTCATATCGGCAATGCAGACCCACAGCACTATCAGAAACGTTGCTATCAGAAACAATGCCCGACTGTTTTGGATGTAATATGGTCAGTGTTTACATTAGCATCGCTAACACTCAGAGCTAACCTGTGCTGGAGAGCATGTGTGTGAAGAAGCAGGAAATAAAAAGGAACTCACCTTGTGGTATAACCGGCAAGAGAGAAAGCCTTTGAGCTCCATACTGTTTCAGAGATAATCCTTGATAATCCATGATATGGCGTTTCATCACCGCAGTATCTGACGGTAGAATCTCCCGCATGAGCAGGCATAAGCCCCGCCCCTCTTTTTTTATCAATTTTCTTTTTTTTAAAGCTTTATACATAAAATCAGCACTTTTGAAACAGGAAGTGAAATAGAGGGATATGAGGCATGGCTAGAATGGGTGATCTGTTTGGTATTTTGAGCAAAACACTTCATAGACATGTTTTTTATATATCTGAGACCTATTCTATTGCCTAAAAATAGCCACCACAAGTTGAAAGAATGAATTATATTTTTTGGTTTTGGTAAACTGACACCTTAAAGGGAAAACATTGTTGAATAGATTAATAATATCAATTACATTTAATCTAATAAAACTCACAGCATGTGACTGTGTTTTATTACACAGTTCCTCCAGTTTACATGATCTCCAAGCACTCATCATACACATTACGTTATTCATAATTCATTATTTTTCTCTGAGGAAGAACAGTTATTTGGGATGCAACCATGTTTCATATCAACTGATAGACTGTGTTAGTAAATGTAGCGAGAGCTGATGGCCATGTGATGACACAAAGACTGTTCACACCAAGACCGTTAATCTGCTGAAACGGATTTATACAAATAAAAAATTAGACTTCATATCCTGCAGTCAAAGAGTGGATCTAATTAATACATTAATAGTATTGTAAAGTATAATTGTAGTTTTAGAAAAGCAAATGGCAGAGCTTAACATCTTTAAAGCTCCAGTGTGAACTGACATGCTGCTCAGTCCACACATTTCGATCATTGTTATGTATGCCGCTCCTCCTTCCATTCCCACGGGGAAAAAGATCATGACGGCATCAGCAGAGAATACAGAGTATGACATTAGTCCAAGCAACTCTAAGAAATATAGGTAACTTCTACCCATCCATGTGAAGAGGATGTGATAGCAAATTGATTTCTTGAAATGTATCTGCATTAACAGATAGCATGCAATAAGTAACACATTCTTAATTTCTTTAAAGCTTAGTTCTTGATGGTTTTCCTTCCAAAATATTTGATACAGTTTGCAGGTGTGAATGAGCCATCAAAGTTTACCATGAAATGAAAGCATAAACTGCTAATACTCATCTTATATCAGCCCCTGCACCTGTTCATCAGGAAATGGTCAGGTGTTGTTTACAAACCAGCGTAACAAGATCTCCAGTTATTGGTGGGGCACTTCAGAGACATTGACCTCCGCTTGCTTCCCGTAACACTGTGAAGGACTACAGTGGCCACGGCCTGTTTAGATGACACCCGCTGAACACAGCGACCTCTGACCTCAGTTGAGGTCCTAAACCCGCCGTCCTCATTACCTCATGCTGCCATAATGTAAAGCATGTTATTCATGGCCTGCAGAGGCAACGAGCTATGTGAGAACAAGGCTTCAAATACTACTTATATGCAATATATATATACTGCTTCATAATTATTATTATTACTGGCTGCTGTCCCTTAGCTAGACAATTCAATTTAACTTCTGTAATAAATCTGTAAATAACTGTGCAATGTATACTTCCACATGTAATACTACCACCTGTCTGCTATCTCATAACTGTAACTGGTACTGGATGTGTATTTCTTTTATTGTAACTTGTGTAAATCTACATTTATCTTTAATATATTTATGCAATATTTGGCTCTTTAATTGCTTTAACAATGTACATTTTCCCTCTGTGGGACGAATAAAGCTATTCTGATTCTGAAATCAACACCAACATATGGACCCATCATCACAGATGATACCAAATACAGGAAAAATATTTTCTAACATTTATCCTTACGTTCACTGCCACTGTGCTAAGTGGAGCTGTAAGGGAAGCTGACATTGCCATTCACAGCTATGGCCAGGTGCTAAGTCAGGTGCATCCGTAAGGCAAGCTGGTCCCCGGGACTTAAGAATAGTCACAGAGGAGAAAATAAGGAGAGGAGGGCTTCTATTTCAGACCGGCTCTGACTTTTATAGAGGGTGACGGCATGTCCTGAGAGGGTGACCGAGAGATAAATAACATTGCACAGATGCTCATCTCAAGCCAAGATAATGTAGAGAAAACCTCCTGCAAAAGTTCATTTGAAACGTATATAGTGCTATACTATGGAAATGAAAACATATACAATTAAAAACCAAAAACACATAGCTGATAATCTATGGAAAAAAATGAACTGAATATTGCAAA